CCACACAGAAAACTCCATAGTTAAAGTACACGTTACACAGGTATCCACACAGAAAACTCCATAGTTAAAGTACACGTTACACAGGTATCAATACAGAAAACTTGATAGCTAAAGTACACGTTACACAGGTACACGTACAGAAAACTTGATAGTTAAAGTACACATTACACAGGTATCCATACAGAAAACTTGATAATTAAAGTACACGTTACACAGGTATCCATACAGAAAACTCCATAGTTAAAGTACACATTACACAGGTACCTGTACAGAAAACTTGATAGTTAAAGTACACATTACACAGGTACCCGTACAGAAAACTTGATAGTTAAAGTACACGTTACACAGGTATCCATACAGAAAACTTGACTGTGAAAGTACACATTACACAGGTACCCGTACAGAAAACTTGATAGTTAAAGTACACGTTACACAGGTACCCGTACAGAAAACTTGATAGTTAAAGTACACGTTACACAGGTACCCATACAGTTTTTTTCTTTCTTCTAAGCATCAAATTTAACACATCACCTCATGCATACAACATATTTTTGAAACGTTAGATTTTTATATACTTACTACGTTTCTGGGAGACTGCCTGTAGAATTGCTGTTATAACATCGTATTTACGATTCCGTTTATTTTGAAGATGGTCCCTCAGTTTCAATCTGCAAACCAAACGATTATTAAGTTGTTGAACACGTTCCAGAAGATGTGACTTGATCAGTATCAACTCCTGAGCTCCTAGAGAGACATAAACAAAACTTACATATGTGTATGAGATATTCTATTAATCTTTGTTAATAACAACAATCAACAATAACAACAATCAACGATCCTTTCATTTCCTGAACAAGAATCCGACAAAACATAATTATTCTGTGTTCACTCTAACACCAGAAGAGATTTTTATTTAGGGAAAAGCGAACTTTGTATTCGGCGCCCCTGAAAAAATAATAGTTTGTTTGGAATTAAGCACAAAGCTACGCAATGGGCTATCTGTGCTCTGCCCACCACGGGTATCGAAACCCGGTTTCTTGCGTAGTAAGTCCGCAGACATACCGCTGTGCCACTGGGGGGCTAAAATAATAGTGTAATTATTTCTCAGATGAGATAAAATATGCATTCATTGTGAAGAAATTACCTGTATATGATATATGTATCAAATACAATAACGTAAATCGACTCACGTAATCTGGAGCTTTAAGATTAACAGTGATGCTTTATCTGCTTGAAAAGGTTAGGATCAGTGGAATTCAAACTGTTTCAATTGAGATAAATTAAACTGGAATACCACAAGTTCGTTCTACCAGGAAAATTTCACATGCATTAGTGTTAAACACACACTAACAGAAAGGACAGTAACCCAATCCGTTTCCACTCCAAACCGATTAGAAAAATCTAACAACAAAGTACCAGTTTTAAACTGTGTGCTGTAAAGGGGCAGTGTAAAATAATATCAGGCTATAAAAGTACGTTTTGTAGGATACCTGCCCCCTCACGGGGAACCCACCCAAAGGGGCGCCAAAATCGACATTGCGATTAGCAATTCTAGTCAAGTGTACAGGACTCGTTATATATATATATAACTCCTCCCCTGGATGGAAGTTATATAAATTAATGATTGATGAAAGGTTATCTTAGGAGATAAAAAGTTACTTCCATTATATGTAATTGTAAAAAACGCCCATAAAAACTACAAAACGAAAACTGAAAATGTATATGTATCTCCACATGGATCCAATGAACCCCCAATGTCATAGTATTTTCTATTTCAATTCCCCCCCCCCCCAGTGGCTCAGCGGTAAGTCTGAAGGATTATAACGCTAAAAACCGGGTTTCGATACCCGTGGTGGGACACAGCGCAGGCAGATAACCCATCGTGTAGTTCTGTTTAAGAACAAAATAAACAGAACTTATTTCAACGCCTTCTGTATGAATCCTCTCAGTATTGTTTAAAGAAATAAAAACTTTAACCTCTTAGATATTCTCTCTGAAGGAACGCTTACCTTTAAGATTCAGGGTTGTTGTCGAGTACCAGGCCCTGTGGTGACTCTCACAGTCTGATGCCAAGTTCGGCGGAGCTGCAAACACATCACTAACTGAAGAGTCTGTTAGGTTATCACTGTCCACACTGTAACGCCGGTTGTAAATTTCCACCAATAATCCATCAACAATTGACGCTGTTCTTTTCTTGTTCAGAGTCATCGCTTCTGGAATCGGTGGCTTAGCCTCCAAAGTCCTACTTGGACTTTGTTGGACATATCTGGTGCTGCTATCGTCTTGTTGACTAGAATGGTATTCCCAGGTCTGTAGCGTCGATTCTTCGGAAGTTGTGTCTTCTAACGGAAGGCGAATGTTTTGGAAGTTGTCCACAAACTCGGGCTCGACATCGTTGCGACAGTCGAGTATCTCGGGAGAGGACGGAGGGGTCAGAGGGATGTCACTCAGGTCTTTCGTGGTAGTCGGCACTTTAAATGTGGAGGAAACAGAAGTCATCTTTAAATTTGAGTCCATTTTCTTAACCCGGATTCCTGTGTATAACAAAAGTCGCCATACTTAGAGCCTCTGCCACGTCGAAGCTGTTATCACACATTTCCAGGGAGTGTCTGTCGTTTTTATCTGACGTCACACCAGTACAGGAAGAAATCTATCATTACAATAGAGTAGCACGTGTTGATCGTTACGTGAGACTGCCAAAAGTTACACAGCTTTCAGTTCAGTAAGCATTCTTTTTAAATAAACATTTCCCAGGACAGAGGAATGAGAATTCGCCCGAATGAACAGACAGCGCTGTGTGTATACACGAGAGAATTCGCCCAAATGAACAGACATAGCGCTGTGTGTATACATGAGAGAATTCGCCGAATGAACAGACATAGCGCTGTGTGTATACTTGAGAGAACTCGCCCGAGGGACACAGCGCTGTGTGTATTCACGAGAGAATTCGCCCGAATGAACAGACACAGCGCTGTGTGTATACATGAGATGATGACAAAACCTTGTCGAAACGTTGTACATTTGCTGTCATGTTAAACTTATATTAAAGTTTTTCTTCATTACCCATTTAAGCCGTCTCCAGCCATTATAAGTTGTTACTCTGATTATGAGACCTGTAAAGACAAGTTGTTACTCTGATTATGAGACCTGTACAGACAAGTTGTTACTCTGATTAGTGAGACCCATACAGACAAG